AAGAGCTGCTAAATGCAAATCTGCCAAATGGTAAAGGAAAAAAAACATTGTATGTCTTTTTTTTTGGTCCTGTAAATGGTTACATTTGTAGAAGGCTTTCGGTTTGGTTTTTGGGGTATTGTAATAAAAAAAATATTTTTTATTTCGGAGAAAGCTACGTATATGTTACAACGATACTTCTATATATATAGATCAAAGGAAATGTATAAAATGTAATAACATCAGTTTTAAATATTATGATGAAAATTTAGTTTTTATAATGAAGAAAATAAATAAACAACTAAACTGAGAGAGTGAGCAAACACTTATAAGAGAGAAGATGAAAAGGAGAAAATGCTTACCGAGTCCACAGAAAACAACTCCACGGGCAATGACAACAAAGAAACGCGAGATTGGAGACCAAAACGCAAACGCAGAAAAAGAAAATCACAGGCAGAGCTGTTCGACGGCGGTGACGATCTGAGCGGGCTGGACGACCGTCCATTCCTCGAGGGTCCCGGCGTAAGGTGTCGGGACGTCCTGAGACGACAAGCAAACCACCGGAGCGTCCAAGTAGTCATGGAAATTCTCGTTGATGGCGGCGGTTAAACTCGCCCCGATCCCTCCCGTTCTCATGCACTCCTCAACAATCAGAACCCGATGAGTCTTCTTGACCGAGTTCCCGATCGTGTAAAGATCAAACGGCTTCAGCGACCTGATGTCGATGACCTCGGGGTCGAACCCTTTGTTCACTAGTGTCTTTGCAGCCTGCATTACATGGTACCTCATCCGCGAGTACGTTAGGATGGTCACGTGTTCTCCGGGTCTTACCATCTCGGCTTCTTCGAGGTTACATACGTATTCCTCGTCCGGGATTCTCTCCTTTAGGTTGTAGAGAAGGACGTGCTCGAAGAGAATCACGGGATTCTCGCTTCTTATCGCCGCTTTCATTAGGCCTTTGGCGTTGTAAGGGGTCGAGCAGGCGACCATTTGGATTCCCGGGATGGACTGGAAGTATGATTCCAGTCTCTGCGAGTGCTCAGCCCCGAGCTGGCGTCCTACTCCGCCGGGTCCACGGATTACGATCGGGATGGTGAATTGGCCGCCGGATGTGTAGTGAAGCATCCCGCAGTTGTTGGAGATCTGGTTGAAGGCCAGGAGGAGAAATCCCATGTTCATACCCTCGACCACGGGTCTCAGACCTGTCATGGCAGCTCCGATGCCCATTCCCGTGAACGCGTTTTCGCAAATCGGGGTGTCGAGAACCCTAAGGTCACCGAATTTTTTAGCCAAGTCTTTGGTCACTTTGTATGAGCCTCCATAGTGGCCTACGTCTTCCCCCATAACACATACACGGGCATCTCTCTCCATCTCTTCTTCGAGACCTTCCTGGAGGGCCTCGAAGAGCAATAGTTCATGCCTGCAGGAATTTTTTAGCTAAATTAGTTATAATGTCGATGCGACGAAAAGCCATAAACCTTATAAGGATGAACCTGAGCATAGAAGAATCAGTTTGTGTCTCAAAGAACATAGGAATATGAAGAAATCACCATGCACGGCTTAGTTACCTCGCTAGTGAATACATGCAAATGATGACAAGAAGAATCTTTCTCTTGCAAGACACACAGAGCAAGCGAAAAATGAAAACACATTACAGAAACGAATAAAAGGAAATGATGGATGGAGAAACAGAGTAAGATAGGTTTGTAGGATTTTGGGAAGGTAGGTACAATTAGATAGAAGGTCCTATGACTTTTAAGCATTATAATTTGCAGGGATAAATCTATGTCAGCAAGTAGTTTAGAATCCTTAGATATTTCCACTTTCACTTGTCCATTTGGTATGTCAATGAGTGAAATGCTCTTTAACTAGCAAGAAGAACAAGGGTACTTGTGAAAAAAGAGGCAAGAACCATAAAACCAGACTTTGTTCAAGCAGAATACTATATCTAATGCTAGATAGGAGTCATCGTATATTCTTTGGATGATTGAATTGGAAACCCACCCTTAAATTGTTGACATACATGCACTCAATGCATCCATTCCAACCACAGTTCATCGGCTTCCACATTCATGCACTCAAGAAAGTTGTGCTTGTCACCATTACACATTTCAAGTTCCCTAAGTAGCATTATGACCATTGTAGATTACAAGCACTAATGAGCCAATGTTCGACAAACACTACATCCTGGTGATGACAGAATTGGAGGTAAACCATGCCTTTTCAAGTTTAACTGAACTCCTAGTAAATCGAACCTGGGGTTATGACTTCATTACAGGAACACTCCATCACAGGTTGCCAAATCCAACCAAAGAACAGCAAAAAACAAAAGGAATCTAGACAAGAGATGCAAGGGACTAGAGATCTTTCCAGTATCGTGGTTCTATAACCAAAAAGCCTAACACTTTTCAAAGATGTCTCGTGACTCATGATCCTCTGATTAAGGAAAAAGAACACACCCGGGTTTCGACGAGGTAGAACTCGCAGCACCATCCGCTTTTGTCTACAAAACCAAAATCCCGTCAAGACCCAATGGAGATACAAAAGAAGAGGGAAAAATCAGACAGAAACATAGACAAACGCATACCGCAACAGCATTTGCGATCAATTGCTCAGACCGGCGAACTCTGAGCCCAGAAGGGAAGCTCTTACTCACACCAGATCGAGCCACAATATATCCTCCGACCCTCACTGCGTCAAACCAAATAAGGAATAGGCTAAAATTTCTCAAATCAAAACCCTAACGTCCCGCATTTCTCCTCAAACATCAACACAAGCCACGAGCGATAGCGACATTCTCACCACGTTATTATCAGCTTCAAACTCGCAAAATCAAGCAAGAACCTGGGAAAACGAAAACCTAATCAAAATCGAGATCAGGAAGAGAGGCAAACCTGGAAGCGATCTGCGAGAAGCTGCGAGTTTCTTAGAATCAACGGAATTAAACGGCGACAGAGCAGTGGCAGCTCCAGCTCCTTGGAGTATCGCAGACATTTTCCGAGAAAATCAGAGAGAAAAAACAGCAGAGCTCCTTGACAATGGAAGAAGAATTACACAGAAATAATCAAATCAACCGAAATGCAGATATAGAGAGTGTGGAGAGCGGAGAAATCGAAGAACCGAAAAAACTGTGAATTCTTTCTTATAAATTTATAGTTATTATTTTTAATGCCAGGGCGATTTAATCGTCCACACATTTCTTTTACATAGTTTTCATCGATGGAAATGATCCCCTGCGGCCGCACTCATGTGTGATGAGGGTATTTTCGTCCATTGCGGCTTAAATAGTTTAAACTCGACACGTGTATGAATTTAATTGGAGAAATTTAATGATGATTTTCATCTGCGTTTGGTTACCCAACTCGGACCGACCAAACCAAGATCCTACAAATTTGATATTATACAATGGCTCGATTTTTAATATTTATCTAGTTACGACGAACATTAGAATTAATTTAATTTAATTTAATAAAAAATTATAACAAACGGGTTTATATACGTTCGATAAACTTATTAATACCAATGGATATTGTTTCATCAACTGAATTCCGCAGCTATATAATATATTATCTATAATAAACAATTAGTAAAAAATATATGTTACATATGTCAATATAGTTATAATAAAAAATAGTAAATACTATTAAATATAAATGGATGTCATGTTAATGTGTGATCTATTAATAGTTTGATTTATGAATGAGTGAAAGGTGAATTCGTGGGTCTCATGGGCCTCAGCCCATTAGGAGTAAGGTAAATGCCCATAACTGTAAGAAAGACGTTGGACTCCACGAGCCCATCTCCAATAATATAGTTTTCAAACATTTATTAATTACGTAATTGTTTTTCTTTTGACTCTTAAGGCAATCTTTTTATTTCTTAGTTTTAAATATTTCAAGTACTTGAATTTTATTAAATTAAACAACATATCATATTATTTAAAATAAATTTTGATATAATCATTGATTTGGTCCAACCTTAGTGTCAAGGTTTACTAGTATTACACTACATTACATTTCTTAAGTAAACGGTAGAGTTGGACTGTTGTTTGTTACCAAACAAAACTATATTTTCGCACCATTAAAAAGGAACAATCAAAGGGGGAAAAAAAAACTAAAGCTCAAAAGAATGGAGAAGGTTCATTGTACTTAACCACTATAATATATATATATATACGTGGATTATTATTATTATTATGGTAAATGAAATTATATATACGGTTCAAACATTACTTTGTAAAATTATTATAACTTCACCAACCAAAATCTTATCATTCTTTTTTTTTTTTACATTTAAGGGTTTGTTTTATTTTTGCACCCCCTATGAAATTTTGCATATTTTTCTTCTGATCCATATGGAAAAAAAAATAGTAGAAGCTGTTTTCAAAGTGGATATAAATGCAAATATCATACTTTTCTAAAACATATGTTTTACATTTGTGGAAATGTCATATTCTTTTATTATTATTAGGAAAAAAAAATAGAGACTAAAATTGGTGACACGCCTCAACGATTTATTTATTATAAAAAAATGTGGCGGAAGAAGAATCAAATAAAAGGTAAAATAATATTTTCGATTAAGATAAATGAGTTTGATAGGATCCAAAAGGATTGCAGGCATTGCACTCTTGACAGCCAAGACATTCGTCCTTCTGCCAGACGAGGAAGAAGACGACGACGCAGAGAGAGAGAGAGAGAGAGAGAGAGAGAGATGGAGATTATCTATCTCCTATGCTCAATCCTCTGCACTTCGACGACATCTCTCTTCCTCTCCATCTTCCTCCCATTTCGCGTCTTGCTCGGTCGCGTCTCCGGCTCACGCGCCGCCGCGACCACACTCTACGAAGGCACCGTCTGGCATGACCGCCTCCGTCCCGTCCGCCATTCCTTCCGCTACTCCGTCCGATACGCTCTCTTCGACCTCGACCACGCGCCTGACGCGCCGCCAGACCACCTCTCCGCCGATGACGCTCGCCGTGTTGCTCATACCACCGGGCCCATGTATGTCAAATTTTTTGTTCTACGTCGATTTCATTCTTAATTTGGCATATGCATTTACGCGGCGAAGTTTCCGATGTCTAGGAATATGTTACTGTGGAAGCCTCATTTCTCGGTTCCCTGAAACTTTGTAGGTTGAATCCTTTAATTTTGCGAAATCGTAAACCTGTATGGTGTTCGAGATAATGCTGCAATGAAAACCCATGTGTAGTTAGCGTCGCTTTCCGTAAAAAAGCTGTCTTTCTGGTGTTACCGTCTGTGTTTGATAATGGATGTTACGTTGCCAATTGACAAAATGCAAGACGTTTTATGTAATGATGTGATCCAAGAACGGTGACTCTTGATGTTGATTCGCTGCAGTTTTCTCTTGACAATACCTCCGAGCGTCGGGTACGAGCAGAATCCCCTGAGTTTGTATTACTGCTATGATATCGAAGGTTCTAGCCGGCGATTAAGGAAATGCATTGCTCAGGTATGCTTTTGTTGGTTTTAGTTTCTGCTCCTCTGTGTTCTGGATTTGTTCTGCTGATGGAAACAACACAGTTCTTGATCCTTATGCAAACCCTTTTTCTTGTTGTTTTCCTTAACAATCGTCTGTCTACACTCTGATGTCACCGTAGATGCATACTACAACGTCGTTTCCAATTCAAGTTGTCTACTGATACTTGTAGGTAGGAGAGCTCTTCATCCAATGTGCAGAGAAATATTTTCTGAATCGATAGTTAGCCTGTTGCTTTTCTTGTTTCAATCGGTTTTGAATGGCTCCTTAACTTTCACCGAATATCACTAGCTAAGTTGCTCTAAAGTATAGTTTACTGGTGAGGGGATTGCACTGATGATACCTTGTTTGAAACAACCGTAGAACATGTTTACTGTTCTAATGACCCGAAAAGTTTGCAATATATTCTGTTTGATGTGTCCACGCGATTATACTTTCTTGTTTGTAAACTTGTTGGTTCTGATATTAAACACAATCTCTCGTAGAAGTTTGTTGGAGACAATGCTTAACATCATTTTCCTCTCTGCTTATTCAGTGGATGATTCTGTGTGTAGGTTACAAATACACCATGGGGCGAAAGGGTGACTTTCGTTTTCAACCCAGAATCTGACCTCATTGCTAAGTCTTTACAAGTCAGTCCTTTCATGGTATATATTCTCTCGGGCTTTTCTCTCTTTGATCGTTTCCCGTTCTGGAGAGCTTTTATCTTATTTCTAAATGATACTTTGTAATATCTCGGCTAGCCGTGCCCCCAACAACACCATTTCCCTGATATTTGTTGACCCTTTTGTTGAACAATCCGTCTCTCCTAATGCATTTTGTCACTAGGATTAGGCAGTTTTCAGTTTTTCATAGCCGCCTTATACGCTATGAGATGATTGGATACTCATCTCTAAAAGAAACGTATGCTCTTGCAGGATATGCTTGGCAACTGGAAAATCAGAGCCAGTGATCCCGGTGATGATTTACACGTCTCAATTGAAGTGCTCTTTTTTTCCTCTTTGGTAAGATCAAATCCACACACACGCATATATACACACATATACATATATGCTACACGAGTGTCTGATCATGCAATTTTCTTCTGGCTGATGCCTCACAAGGTTGCAATATGGATATATTGGCATGTGAGTATCAACTCAAAAATAGTTAAACAGGATCTTAAGTGTAATAAACTCGGGTTTGGATGGTATGGTCTTAAACCCGCCATTTTTGTACTCCCGTTTTTTCATTCAGGCACTTAAGCTGTGGTGGAAGAATGTGTCATTCATCCAACACCCGAGATACTCAAACCCGTCATACAAGGAAGATGCCATTCTCCGTGATCAAAAACTTCGATGTGGTGGTTTAGATGAGTCTGATCAAGACGAAATCATGGAAGTTGATGGGTTCAATGCTGGAAGCTGTGGTAATTTTGGAGCATGTCGTTTTGCATGGAGAGATGCTAAATGGCCATGGTCATGAGACTTGTAGGTATAACCATGCTCATCTTTCTATATGTTGTTGTCAAGAATCCTGCTATGTCGAGACCCGAGGGCCGTGGTCCCGAGGGTCACGCACTGACCGTGGCCCCCCGAGCCTAAACCCCGAAACGAAACCATGATTTTTCTTCCACACTCAAGAATCTAAGCCTAAGAGTTCTTGGCATTCTAGGGTCACTTGTAGAATCTTCCTTTATGTTGAGATGATGAAGCAAATAAGAAGTTAAAAAAAATATTGGAAGTGATTGACAAGATTATCCAGAGTACAAAATCAAATGTCAATTGTATCAATTATCTTTTAATTTATTTTCGTCGTATATTATTTCTTTCTAAATTTTCTCCCTTGATTATTTTGTTCATGTCTGCTACAAAGTAAGAAATAAAAGATTGATTTTGTTATTAAAATTAAAAATAAAGGTATTGAATATTTCCAACAAATCTTGAAATTCAAAATTAAGAAAGAAAAGATTCTTTTCTTATGCTATAATTCATAAATAAATCTGAATGTGTATGTCATTATTTTTTCTCTTCTTTTTGTGTAAAATCTATAGAAACTTCGTACTATTTTTATTATTTTTGCATTTTCCACGTGGAATTATTACATCCAAAATGATTGGTCGTTGACCGCCCGAGATTAAATTAGATAATTAATGGATGGTGGACAACCAACCAACGGACCCCGTCGTTGTTCCTTTTTGTTTTTCATTTGATAAACATGCGTATATATATTCAATGTACGGTAAAAATATTAAAAAATCTATAGTACCGAATTGAACTGATATGTGATTCAATGTTTTTAGACTCTTAATTTTAGGATTCGTTTGATATTTTTATTCGTGTTGTTATTAGAAAACATTTCTTATTATTATTATTATTATTATTATTATTATTATTATTATTATTATTATTATTATTATTATTATTATTATTATTATTATTATTATTATTAACATAAGCATCTCCTTGACACACATGAAAAGATCCTTGCCGACATATAAAATATCCATAACTTATAAATAAAAAAATTATATACCACAAGCTTTATATAATAAAGTTTCACATTCCTTTTTTTGTTAGATGATGGACCGAACAGAGCACGAGCTTAGTATAGGTATGCCATTGTACTAAACAGGTTAGGCACCAAATGTCGAGAGTAAATGAACTTACCGTTCCTGTAATATCAATATGAACTCGGGTTAATTTTGAATTAATTAATTGCACCTTTTTTTATTATTTGTAAACAGTGTATTTTTATTTATATAAATAGCGTATATGTATCTGGTGTACGTAATGAAAGTATATATATATATATATGCGCATTTGTTTTGAATATTTTCTTTTTTTCTGGACTTGTAGATACATAGAAAAGTTCAAATGACGACCGATTCCAAGACACGTTTTTTTAAAAACTTGGAATTATGTCTAACCGTAATTTGCAATAATACGACAAGACATCTTGGCCTGATAGGTTGTTGTGACAATAACGTTTTTTCGTCAACGACATATTGACATTAGATATATTTACGCGTGAAATACCGATGCTTATAGTTATAGATTAAAAAAAATAAGAAAATTAATAAGATCAAAATCATTCAAAAACTTACGATATTAAAAATATTAAGATATCACGTTTTTTTTTTACAAAAAAACGCATTTTTTTTGTCAATTTGCTCATTTGCATGCGTAAAGGTAACACCGCCAACGTGATTTTAGGGCAAACCTCGAAAATAATTAAATATATATATTGTTTTCAATCCAATAAAGAATAAATAATATCGCATTTAACACGTGAAAAAGAAAAAAGAAAAATCAGATAGAGAGTTTTGTCCGAAACACCAAGTCTCCGCAGTTATTAGCTTTATAAAAAGCTGTGTTCGACCCGTGTGTGTTTCACAATCTTTCTTTTTTTCCTCTTTGGTAAGATCAAATCCACACACACGCATATATACACACATATACATATATGTCCTATACACTTGAGCCGTTACTTACAGCGATACGTATCTAAGCTTCTTCTAGTCCTCTTGGTTTCATCCCAACACGACGAAGATGGAGAGAAACTGCGACTTGGAACTTCGCCTTCTCTCTTCATCTTTTGATTCTGATTCCATCAGCTCGTAAGTCTCTCCCTATATGTATGCATATATACACACACGTGTGTGTATATATTTACATGATATTGTGCGGTCGAACAAGGCTATATATAGCAGTTATATTTATACCTGATACATGCATATAACATATGTAAAACCTGATCTCGGTACTCAAAATATGCAAATATACACACATATATACATGCATTTCTCTATATATGTACACATATGTATCGAAAAAAATGATGATGATTTGTATTCCATAATGATTTGAAGGAATGTGGAAGAATTAAATAGCTCGGAAAAGGAAGAACTAAGGAGAATGACCATTTTCTACAATGGAAAGATGTGCGTCTCCGATGTTACCCTTCTTCAGGTACCTGCATATATATATATATATATATAATTTATTTAATTTTTTGTGTGTGTGGCTCAATTTGATTAAATAAATTGTTTTAATAATTGCAGTTTAAAGAGATAATATCGCTAGCGAGTAGAGGATTAGTGGAGGAGAGGTCAACGTCAAAATCACATCATCATGGTCACCATCATCGTCATCATCATCCACTCCATGTAGCTTCCGTAAAAAAATCACTTCAAAGTTTTCTGCAGAAGCGGAGAGACCGAGTTCAAGCCTCGTCCCCTTACCATTCATAATATTTTGTTATTTTATTTATTGTTTTTATATTTATGTTTTTAGATTTTCAAAGATGATAATACTTTTCTTTTTCTCCATTAAACACCGAATTAGTCACTCAAAAGAAAAGTGTTTTATAATTTTTTTTTTGTTAGTCACAGAGAGTATTTTCTTGGAAGATTGCAGCCCGATTTTTGGGCCATATGATTTGAGCCTTATTGGGCTCTCATGATCATAGGCCCAATTGTACGTTTTTGGTGGACAGCCCATTATGGCCCATAATCTTTTCCAGCAAAAAAAAAAACTAAAATATAGAAAAAAAATGTTGAATTTGTAGAGTTGATATATTAAACTTTTTAGGAGATTGTAAATAATGTTTCATATCTGCGGTGGGGGAGGAGAAACATTTTTTAAAAAAAAAATATTAGTATACGAGAATTGCATAAGTATCATTCTTATTTCTATAGACTTTGCATCGAAGAAGAACGATTAAACCCTAAATAATAATAATAATAATAATAATAATAATAATAAGTAGCTTTCAATCATTAAATTGGGGAAACCATAAAGGAGACATTATCCTTAGAATTTGTATTTTTCTAAAGAGCAGATAGTCTTTTGGTCCCATTTTCTTTGAGACTTTTTTTTTATGTGTAAATGCTTGGAAAAATTCCAACCAAATCTAGTGATAAACACATGCACACGTCTCATCCCTATCTGCACTTGTAAATTAAAATAATATATATATATATTGATATTTATTGGATATATATATATATATATATATCAAGCTCTTTAATTTCCCCCTTCATTTTCTATACATAATAAAATTTCTTGGATATTTTATGTTCTAGTTTTCTTAAACTTAAATTAAAAATATCTTTACTAAAATTTACAGTAAATAAAATAAAAGAGGTTGACCCGGAAAATAATTAAAGAAAGACACGCAGGATGGTGATTCCGTGCAGATCTCTCGGCACCGTACATACACACAAACACACGACGGCCACGGCGTCTGGTGATTTGTTGTGGTTTAGTGGGTTTTATTTATTTAAATTAAACTTTATATTATATAGATTTCATAATCTTTTTCTTTTTTGTTACAGAACTTGATAAATGCCATCACTTCTATCTAAATCAACTTTATCATATTGCACATGATATGACACGTGAAAGCATTAGATGCGAAAATCGGAGCATAATCTAAAATGAATTGGCATTTTTGGACGGGTTAGTGTAATAAATGATGCCAAAACATTTTCCATTAATTTCGTTGATACAGATTATTTTCGATCACAAATTTAATTAATATATACAAATATAAAATCCACGTCCACTATTATGTATAACTCTGTTTTTAAGTACAATTACTCTGATTAACTATTTAATTACGCAAAAATATGGGATTGTGGTAGACTGAATTTGATTTTACGAGGGTAATTGATTATATGATTAATCGAAATGGATTTTAAGCATTAATGATTATGATTAGCGATAATGCTTTTGGTGGGCTTGCAAGTGAAATTTTGCTTTCACGCACCAACTTGATTGCAATGATACCTAACGTTTTGTTACAACCAAATATAGCAGTTCTAAAATGGTGTCAAAAGTTTGTTATCCATACTTAATATATGGTTCGTTTTTCTAATTAATTATTTAAAGACCCGCTGTCACGTTATTTTTCTTTAAAATTCATAAAATACAATATTTAATATATAAATTGAGGCGTATTTTAGATTTTCCATAGAAAATTATTATATCCCATTTTTATATAGAAGATTTCATGTCCGTGGAACGGTTAAACTAATTGGATATTGATGAATTATCCGAATATATGTGAATACAAATATCAAATGTATATGGTCATCGAATTTGACATAGCATTAAAATAAAATTAAAAAAAAATGGAAAATCAATGTGCGAATCGAATCATATGCACCGAATTTTGGGTATATATAGACACCAACCGTTTCTTATTAAACTCCCAAAATTAATTAGTATATAATTATAGTCCAATCAATTACTGTATAATTAAATTCTTCTTCTTCCTCCTCCTCCTATGATTACAGACAAGCCCGTGCATGATCTTTCTTCTTCTTCTTCCATGTCGTCTTCTCTCTCCCCGTAGATCGCTCTCCAAAATCAACACTCCTTCTCTCTCTCTCTCTCTGTGAACAGCCATGTCGTATGATCTTCTCCCCGATCACATCTCCCGGCTCCATCCCGAGTCCGTGCAAGCCCTAGATTCCGCCGCCGTCGACCATTTCGACCGGCTCCCTGATTCTCTCATCCTCCTCGTTTTGGAGAAGATCGCTGACGTCAAGGTTCTCGGACGATGTTGCCTTGTTTCCCGGAGATTCCACTCCCTTGTACCTTTGGCCGAGAACGTTCTCGTCTGCGTCGATTGTGTCATCTCAGACGATGATTCCTCTTCCGCCGAAGATCCTGGCTCATCCGCCTTCGGTGATGCCGTCGTCGGTGGCTCGTTGTCGGCTTTGTTCAGGGTCGTCTTCGGCCCAATTTTCAAGCCGTTTCAGGCGCTGGGTCAGTTTCTGGGCCCGAAGCGATCGTACCTCCGCTCGTCGTCGTTCGGCGAGGACAATGGCCGCGGCGAGATCGAGCAGGGCGAAGTCACGCACCACTCGCCGACGCAGGTTCTGAGGAATTTCAATAAGATTCGGTTTTTGAGAATCGAGTTACCGAGCGGTGAATTAGGGATCGACGACGGGGTTTTGCTGAAATGGAGAGCCGATTTTGGATCCACGCTGGAAAATTGCGTGATTCTCGGCGCATCTTCGGTGACTCGAGCGAATCCCGCCGGAAATCACGAGAACTCTGCTGATTCGGCCTCCATTGACGACAATGGAAACATACCTGAGTCGTTCTACACCAATGGCGGCTTGAAACTCCGCGTAGTTTGGACGATCAGCTCCTTGATCGCCGCCTCGGCACGACATTACCTGCTTCAGCCGATCATCAGAGAACACAAAACACTAGACCGTCTGGTTCTGTCGGATGCAGATGGACAAGGAGTTCTGAGTATGAATAGAGGACAGCTTGAGGAGCTTAGAGTTAAGCCCTTGTCTATATCCTCTGCTTCGAAGCGGACGCTGGTACCAGCATTGAACATGAGGTTGTGGTATGCGCCGCAATTGGAATTGCCCGACGGAATGGTGTTGAAAGGGGCGACATTGGTGGTTATTAGGCCGAGCGAGTCGAAGAAAGAGGTATGTGATACTTCTTGGGTGTCTGGCGCGTTCGAGGAGCCGTTTGGCACAGCGGCTAAGATGTTGATCAAGAGAAAGACTTATTGTCTGGAGATGAACTCGTTCTGAATTCGGATCATGCTCTGAGTTCTCAGGTACATTTCTGGATCAAACTGTGATAACTCATTTCGATTCAGGAGTCGTTTCACTTCCTAGCAGGATTACCAGTGTTCATATGTAGAATCAGATATGATATTAAACTAAACGTCGGAAGATGATGCTCAAAGGGAGGATTTGAGTATACCCTTTGGTTCCCTCGTCATTCTTGCATTGAATCCCTCCGATTCATTGTTCCCCAACCTGTAGTATAATCTTCAAGGTCAAACCATTTGTTAAGTTCTTGGTTTTGAGATGAGCAATCTAAGATGAACAGAGTCCTCAGGAAACTTTCTTAGATGTCTCATTTCCGAAATTCCCCCTCTCACGACGTGTGCAAAAATCCGATCTTTTGGCCCCTGAATGAATCGCACAAGCTCTCTCAAGTTCCCAATTCCATTGATGAGCCTATTATCTTGTTACTAATATCATATAGCATTGACGATAACAGGGCGTAATACAGAGACCGGAGAAAGAAGATAGGCATAAAAAAAAGAAGAAGACAAGACACAGAGACAAATCTCCCAACCTGTTCGATCAACCGCAGTATTGCGGAGAGTTGAGTTCTCCTCCTCATGGATCCGATGGCTACAGTGTTCGAAACAGTGTTCGAAACGAATCCACCACGATAATGTAAACTACCTCATGATGTGAATATTATTACATCTGCGGATAGTGAAAGCAAGCAAATGAGGACCATGTTTTGTTCTCTCCAATGTCTTTTCAACGTTGGAGCAAATATGATGCCTGCATTCTCTGCTTGTACGGGGCATTTTTTCGGGGTTTAGTTAAAATGCTTCATATTTGATGAACTGTGTGAAATCGAGACAACGATTTGCATAACCGGGACGAAGATTTTTACCCGGTTTATTACCCTATCTTAACTGTTGTTGTGTTCATCATTTTGGTTCTGTTATTCTGACGAGAATTCGGAATGCTATTTGTTAGTTTGCTTATGCTTTTTGTTTTTGTTTGTGTTTTTCTGGTTGACTTATGAATGATGTAAAAGTTATAATCTTTCATATCGATTCCGAGTTTCTTGGATTGGGTTTTGGGCAATGCCTTCAACTATGAAGGAGATTTTTTCTGGTTGACTTCTGAACACTCAGGTTTTAATGTTCTTCATCTGGTGCAAGTGTTCATGATCTGGTTTTTATAAGCTATCCAACCGATCACAGAGAGGAGCAGTTTCAATTTAACTTCACTGGTTCTAAATGTGTGTCCATTACATAGATAAATCCAGTCTCCAATCTTTACATCTGTTTTCTTAGTTTCTCACACTGTTTGGTTCTTCTCCTTGACAGGTTGAGGTCTCTTCTGCCAGAACTTGAGCCGGAGAGCTCTTCCCTCCAGCATTTGCTCGATCTCCTCCATCGGCATACCCTTTGTCTCCGGGACACAGACCAAGACAAAGACCAGAGCTACGACAGAGATCACCCCGAAGATGAGGAATGTCCAAGATGTCCCTATGGCCTCCGTCAATGACAAGAACGACTGTGCCACTACCAGATTCGATACCCAGTTTGCGGTTGCGGCTATTCCCCCGCAGACTCCTCTGAACCGTAAAGGGTAGATCTCGGAGTTCACTATCCACGGGACCGTTCCCATCCCGGGAGAGAAGAAAATGATGTAAAGGGCTAAGCCCGCAAGGGCAAGCCAGCCAAAGCTGCTTGGACATCCCCCCCTCGTGTACCACAGCCTGTCTTCACTCTGGCAGAGGTCTTTAACCGAGTCGTTTGAGATCCAGCATGCACCTGGGAGTTGCTGCAGAATCCAAAAACATGGCTGAGAATTCTATATAAGTGGTGGAAAATCGAATTCAGATGTTTCGGGTTTTGCCAGAGTCTTACCTTTCCACTGGGAGAAGCACAGAACCCACATGATGGAGAAGAAGCCTTCAAACATTTCATACAGTCCCAACCAGCAGCATCTCTAGCCGTACTATAATCTGGGCAGGTATTGTTCTTGAACCGGAATGTCTCGAGCTGGCTGATTGCAGGAGCATGAGACGCTGTCTCGTAAAAAACAGCAGACAGAACTCCGAGTGACAATATCACTCCACACAAGCTAATAACCAGAAGCTTCTTCCTTCCTGTCCTATCGATGAAGTAAATGCTGACAATCGAGCCAAAGGCATTGAGCCCGGCAGTGACAAGAGACAAGAGAAGGGCTGTCCTGTTTGAAGCGAAACCGGCCAGCTGAAAGATGGTCGGGCTGTAGTACATGACCGTGTTAATGCCCACAAACTGTTGAAACACCTGAAGGCCAACACCGGCAACCAGGCCTCTTCTAACGGTCTTTGTTTTGCACAGTTTGATGATGTTGATCTTCTCAGTGGACCCTTCTTCTCGTATTTCCGATTCAACCGAGTCTTTCAGGTCTTGAATCTCCTTATCCACTTCTTCAGCCAGGTATATCCTTCTCAGGATCGCTTCCGCCTCTTCTTCTCTTCCCTGTTACATCGAAAATTCTGATTAATACCATAAAAAGAATTAACATTTCGGTTGAAAACTTATACAGGAACTTGAAGGAAATACCTTTCGGTATAACCAACGGGGTGACTCCGGGAGTAGAAGCATTAATATAAACTGGAGAAGAGCTGGAAGCCCTGCAATACCAAGCATCCATCTCCATGTATACCGTACCTGAACAAAGACAACAGATCAGTACCCAAAACATCTTTCACATTCTGACCAAACCGAACCAGATACGACTGAAAAATATCAGTTTTGGTGAAAAGGGTATTACCAAAAACATCTCGGTATTCTGATCAGACAGCATCTGAAACTAGTTCTACAGACAGAGTTGTGTTGTGATTGAACTGTACTGTCTGACTTACCCTGGTGAAGGCTAAGTTGATGAGGTAAGACAAGAACTGTCCGCCGGTGATGAGGAAGCCATTGGTGCTGACGAGGGCACCTCGGATTTTGGGGGGAGAAGCTTCTGAAATGTAGAGAGGAGCAGTCATGGAGGCCATACCGACACCGAGGCCGACAAAGACACGGCCGACAATGAGGAGGGCTGGGTTTGGAGCAAAGGCCATGACCATAGCTCCTATGAAGAATAGGAAATCCGCAGCTAGAATGGCGCTTCTCCTCCCGAACCTGTCGTTGGCCCATCCCCCGACGGCAGCCCCGATTATGGCCCCGGCTATCGCCATGCTCACTATGCTCTCCTGTTTGTTATTATACATACAAGATTACCCATATGTATATGTGTGTGTGTGTGTATAGGAAATAAGAAAATCAAATTTAAATGAACCTGTAACCAAGTCTCTCTGTCCACAGTTTCGAAGTCATCCCTAATGTAAAGCAGAGCTCCTGATATCACCCCTGCGTATGTATAAATATATGTGTGTGCTTGAATTCTTCAGTACACATGCGGAAACTCTAACTAGAAAGAGAAACAACCATATATATATATATATATATGTGTGTGTGTACATATATGCGTGTATGTGCGAGTTCTCCAGCACCCATAAGGATCCTCGAACTAGAAAGAGAAGCAACCATATCTATACATACACACACAGATAGATGCGAAGTTGTGTGTGTATTTGTGTATGTACATACGAAAGCATACCGGTGTCGTAGCCGAAGAGAAGGCCGCCGATACCGGCGGAGAAAGCGAGACGAAGGACATAAGGGTTCTTCCATGTCAGAGCAAAACATTCTCTGAAAGCTGATGCATCTGCACTTCCTTCTCCATGTATCCCTCCTTCCATTCTCTCTCTCTCTCTTTCTATCCTGTTGTGCTTTCCGAGAAAATGGTCGAGAAAGTGAGGGAAAAATGAGAAGAATCATACAAGTTTGGTGAGTCAATATATCAGAGTGACAAAGGAAGACGCCGACGACTTCACTTACCACAAAAATAAAAAATAAAAAATCCAAAATACCAATTTTTTTTTTTTATTATTGGATTATTTTCTTCTGTTGTAGTTATCATTATAACGTGGGAAGTCGGACCTTTTTTTTAAACCTTTCAAACTCGGAAAATTTCGTGCTTTGCATTTAAGAGCTACGTTTATTTTTTTAGGATATGTTATTTTTTATGGCGTGATATTTATTATATTATTTAGTATTATGTTGAAAATCTGCATATATAATTGGTGTTTTCAGTAAAATTTATGTACTTATAAAAAATTTTAAGAATTTATATTTTTCATTAATACATTTATTCAAATTCATGTATTATACGGTCTCTGCTAAAATTTATTTTATCTAATATATATATATATACAAATACACACACGCACACGTGTTTGCATACGCATCGGAATGGTTGTCTTTTTTTTAAATAATTAAATGTCGCATGAGATATGGACCTTGTGAAATGTATCCGGTTTTGTGGAAATATGTAGATACGTATATATAATAAAGCGTTCTTTATATTCTCGTTGTAGCTTACAATTTTAATTCGACGTTATGGTAATAATAATATTTCATCATCGGTTCTCCAGAACTATTTTGTTAACATCTACATATTTAAATTAATTCTTCTTCCGATTTTCCAAAAAAAAAAATATATTGTCACATATACCGATACGGAAACACTGTGAAACAGTTATGAGGCTGAATCAAGCAATTTTTTGCATTCATTTATTTTATTTTGAATTTTGAATCAGAAACAAAAAAGACAAAAAAAAAAATAGAGGTAAAAACGGACATTAGAATTATCAAATTCGAGTGTTATATATATATATATATATATATACACTGCATCACATACAGTCCAAAATCATGTGCCATGTGTGCCTTCATTTGTGGACCCAAATCTTGATTGATTTGAAATTGTTTAATTTTTATCGTTAGTTTTGAAATAAATCTTATAAATTCGGTTTTACACACACACACACACATATGAGTAGGACAGATTATGATGCACTAATTATAAACTAGTTAATTATGGAATCGACTGCTATATAATATATTAATATAATGAAATAAAAATTTTATTTATTTTAATCAATTCATACGAATATATACTACGTCTAGATTTTCGACTTTATGGAACAAAAAGTTTCTGTAAATTATTCGTTAGTTTTGACGAGAGCAACAAAAAAAATCATTAATTTTTTTTTAATACTAACTTCAAAAGTTAAAATCTTGTATAACAATAAGACTAATTACAGTAAGAATAAAAATTTTAAAATTTTGAAAATAATAAAAACAATCTATTATAGTTTAATATGTCCGGCTTTAATTTGATTATTTTTATTATATATGATATTTATATCAAATTTTGATTATTTTTCCAAATTATTTATAGATTTAATAAAAAATAATAATATTTAAATCTAATTGGATTAAATATATTATCATAGCTATATAATATATATCTTTTCTGTACAATTTTATTTTATATATAAAAATTAAATTATCTTTTATATCGATGAAGATGTGATTTGATAGAGATATGATTCGAACTTGAGGTGGAATACTCTTTGCGTATTTTCAATTAACTATCGACCTTGAACACAACTTAATAAATGGCTTTTTTTTCATATAATAGTTCAAGTTAAATTATTATAGTTAATTAGTTACGAGTAATCATAATAAAAAAATCCATAACATGTAAAAATTAAAACAAATGATCTGGATATCATTGTCATCTTACGCCTACCCTTTTTTTATTTTGTTTTAATGATGCGTCTTTTTTCCAACTAATCTGATTGAACGAAGGTAAAGCATATATCACACACAAAAATGTTATAACATACAAGAAAAATTACTTATATATATATATATATACACACACGCATACCTACATGGACTAATGTACGATATTTTTGGAATCGTAATCATATCTCATGAAGATATATAAAAGATGGAAATCACGGGAAAAAATTTCGATTATTTTGAAGTAATTGTGAAATCTAATCATTGATTGGATTTTGCAGATTGGGAATGGGTTAGGAACATTATCAGGAGCATTACAGCTTATCTTATACGCTTGTTACTGCAAGACAACACCAAGAGAGGTTGAAGAAGACAATGCCTCGAAACCTAATGATTCGACATTAAATTATTAAATTTTTTGTGGACCTAATAATCGGGCAATTCAACGAACACGGCAGTTATAATCGCTTTTCCAATCTCAAATTATTAATTTTGCCAATCGAAATGACTTCAAAATTTCAAGGAAAATTTTACAACGGGTAACTAAATTATGACTATGGTCTCCAATTACTGCATTGTTTTTTTACCATGCCTTTTACAAATACTCTCTGTAACTCATATAAAAGCTGCCGGCTAAGCTATGATGAAATAAGGAGAGATATTTGAAAATGAAATATGCAAAGATATTTGAAAGTTAATCTATCATTCCAATATTTTTAGACATTCTTCGTATATTAATCGGTTCAATGCACGAGTAAATCATGCAATGGTCCAAATCCAAATCCAAAGTAAAAGGAAACATGATATGTAGTAAAAGTATAATGTATTGTTAAGTTGTCAATATAAAATATAAAGGAGTGGATCTCGTATTTGCATTATTCTTTCTTAAAGTATAAAGTCGACACACAAAATTTTTTGTAAATAAAGGGTTTGGATTTTTCCATGAAGAAAGGAACATATTGAATTATTTATTATTACTATTTCGGAAATTTTTATGTCGAAATGAAGTATTCGAATTTTTTTATATTAAAACTAGTTATAAAAATGATTAGTATATGAAGCAGCCTAGACAGTTCTCAAAGGCCTTTCGCTATCTTTAGAAGCACTCTTTTCTTCCTTCTATTTCCACCACGAAAAAAATATATATGAAGAACTAGACAAAATTAAAAAAAAATGTTCGGTTTTTAGGAATTGTCAACCTATGAAGAAAAAAATAATATATATGTATGCATGATTTTTATTTTTAGATCATCTTTATTAAAATTATATCTAATCTATTTTTATATAATTTTAAATCGTTTTATTTTGTTTTGATTCGGTTATATTTTTTATTTTTTTCTAAATTATTTTTATGCGAATTTTTATTAATTTATATTAGATCCAAATACAATTAATTTAATTTTAAAAAGATTATTATTCATTTTTTAAATTAATTATTATGTAAGTAATTTTATATATTATTTAATTCGAGTTAAGACTATAACAAAATTTTCTTTTTCTTGTCAAATTTGGAACTGGTTCTGGATTGGGTCAAAAGTGGGCCTGGCCCATATTCTCAAGTCCAGCCTCAGATTGTTATGTATACTTCTGCTAAAATGTCCGACCAGCACGATGATACGTAGTTATATTCCATATTTGGTGCTTATATTATAACTTTTATATACATGGTATATACAGAAACGTATATTCTTTTTGGGTATATAATAAAGTCTCCATGCATTTTGTAACAGAAAACTGAAGTGGACAGGCTTTTCAAGTTTCTAATACGTAAGAATTTGTGATGACTTCAAATTTCTGATTTCTTTGACCAGGTTGTCAGAATATGTTTTGCATTAGTCTGAAGCATGTAAATATAATGAGTTTATACTATAGTACACATGAGCTTGAAAATGGAATCTATTTATATCTATATTCTTACAACTTTTTATTCATAAAAATTTTGCCACATCTGCAAAAGAATTACATGAAATGATAAGTGATCTCGTGGTTTGGAGTGCGATTTATATATAAGTGTATATGTGCGTGTGTGACTCGTAATCACGAAATATATTTGGGGAAATACACCAGAAGCAATATATATATATATATATATAATTATAAATAGATGGTGAGTATCAAATTATATCAATCAATATTATATACGCTGAAAGATTAGTGATAAGATCTATTTAACGAGATTATAGATCTAGTGATATCAAAAGACATGGTTCCGATCAGATAATATATATATATGGATATTTGGAAGAGAATATATGTATATGTACATGTATATGTATATATATATAGTTAATTATTTTTGGTAATTTATGGGAAATGGAGAAATAAGAGGTGGATCAACAGACAAAGTCAGTACGTTGACTGAGAAATGAGGTTTGGATCAAGCAGCGGGAGGATTTCTGCAGTGCTTTTCTCAGACTTTGCCGGTGATTCCCTCTCCAACTCTCGACCAAACCCATCTCCCATTAAATTACACACATCTTTCCCCAAATTTAACAAATGTTTTACATCCGTTTCATTCGGGGTTACAAACATATATTATGTTTAACAAAATATATATATATATATACATATATATATGCGGGTTTATATATATATATATATATATAGGGCTCATCCATATCTTTTAAAATTCAGATATTTTCTCGTATCATATATATTCAAGTTTCTTATATATGTATCTGTTTATGTTTTTTTTTTATAATATACATTTCTCCATGCAGACACACGCATCTATAAATGTGGGTATATCTGTTGATTCATATTCCACCAAATAATTATGTGTATATATATTTTTTCCAGAGATAAATGACATATATTTCCGACGCGAGTGTGTATATATATATACACAATTCCTTCCTTTTTCTCGTTCTTTCACTCACTCACTATTACCCGAAAACCCCTAAAAAAGGTCACAGAACGAGACCCTAAGAAAATCGAGAGAGAGAGATGCAAGCGATCGACGAACAATCAGCCGGAGAATTGCGAGCTATGGCGGGGGATTACAGCTCCACCGCCTTGGCTCTTACTCCTCCGCCGGCGTACGAGATGGTTAGGAGGCTGGCCGGAGAAAACGCGGTGGTGGTGTTCAGCATGAGCGGATGTTGCATGTGCACCGTCGTCAAGCGCCTCCTCTTTGGCCTCGGTGTCGGCCCCACCATCGTCGAGCTCGACCTCCTCCCCTCCTCCTCCGCCGCCGGCGACGTCCTCGCGGTCCTCTTTCACCTCTCCGGAGGCGCCGGAGGAGGAGGAAGGCTGCCGCCGATTCCGGCGATCTTCGTCGGAGGAAAGTTCCTCGGAGGCGTAGATACTCTCATGGCGTGCCACATCAATGGCTCCTTGGTCCCTCTACTCAAAGATGCTGGAGCTCTCTGGCTTTGATAAACTCCTAACATATATATATATATATAGACTATATGCACTCTCTCATCTCATATATAAAGTAATTAGGTATTTTTATGATGATGATTGTGTAAAAGTTTCTATAGCCTAAGTTGATGGTTTGCAAATGAACTTTGATAGACTTTATAATTTAGTTGTAAATAACGATCAACTTCATAAGATATATATATATATTTATTAATGTATGTACATGGATGTACATGATCACACACACACACACACATCACATGATTGGTTTTCGAATATGCTGTTAACGTGAAATATGTCGATGTAACTTTGTCAGTGTCATAAGCTATATTCATAAAATTACTATCGGATAACATCATTTTCAGCTTTTACGTAAGTAAAATATATATTTTTTTGTTAACCGTAAGTAAAATATTTAATGATGCAAGTAACATGTTTTTATACACGAATTGCGTAAAAAACTACATAATTTCATATATACCTTATAAATGTATCAATATAAGTGTACATATCTCTGTGTAAAAGTTTTGTGATTAATCAAAGGTATTTTATTTAGTAGCCACGTCGTTCAAACCGGCAATCGGAATGGATAATACCGGTTCGGTTTGATCGGTTCCAATAGAGTTTTTTTGTTGAACCGGTCCAATAGAATTGTAAAAGCTATCCTTTTGTTTTGGTGAACCGGTGGTTAGTGGAGTATCTTTTAAACTGAATTTTTTTAAAACTGAATAGGAAGACGAACCAAAATGTTGAGTCACACGTAAATTCGGTTAGATATATTTTAATTTTAAAATTTACTTTTAATATGTTGGAAATAATATGAACCAATATAATTTGATATTTTGGGTTTTAATATTAATCTGGATTCTTTCATGATTGAAACCAATTAAAGATCAAGTTCTGTAGGTATTTTTGGAAGTTCTCGCTCTTTAACATAATACAATTATTTTTTCTATATCCTATAAAAAGATCTTTATAATTCATTATTTTGTGCAAAAATAAAATTATACAGAGAGAAATCTATAATTTTTGTCGTTATTTTCAAGATTGTTATATTGTGTTATATGGATAGAATTTTCAAAAAGTATCTATAAAAAGTCACAGTTTAGATTAAACATTGTAACTGCCAAATATGATATTAATCTTATGAAAAGCAGAAATATATTTACACACAATTGTATAATTATATGTACAAATATATCCTTAGATATAGAAATGAATGCAAAATTTGGTTATTTATCATTCTTTTTATCAGTAAAAGATATGTTAATTACATATATTCACGGGTAATTTTATTCACACGAGTTGATTCATAAATAGAAAAATCATATATATGACTTCAAACTCATGGAAGAAGAAAATATGCTAGAAATAAATATTACACGTAGTTGATACTTTTATTATATTAAATTTAATAATACTAATGATACAACTATTTTGATAACTAAGTAAAGACTCGTGAACCGTGAGATGCGCGAATTATTTTTTTTTTTAAATTAAATATATTTTAATAAATTTCGTTTACATGATTGTTATAAAAAATAATACCATATTTTTGTTTAATATTGAAAAAATATATTAACAAAATTAAATTATCATTAGTTATTATATTATTTGTATAAAGAAATTAAAGGGTGAAGAATACAACTAAATATGCTAAAGACCGATCGTGATAGATATAAGGTTATTTGTTTTCTTGGTAATGTAAATGGTTGTTTTAAATTTTTTGGTGATATGATTAATAATGCATGTGTGACTTTTTATATTAATAAATATACTAGTTATATTAAAATTTATTTTATTTTATAGTTATTAGAAAAATAAATAATATAAATTTTTATTTAATATAATTGATAAATTATGTGTTTTTATTTGAAAATTTTAAAATAATTAGTGTGCTTAGTAGAAATTAAAAAATAGTTATTATTTTACCACATTATATATATATATATTGATATGTATTTCTTATATATTTTTATCCTTTTAGTAATAATGTCTTCCAAAATTTAATGCTCCGCCCTGCGTCAGTCAAGTTTAATACTCCTCTAACCAAATAATATTTAAATCTTTTTTTTGTCAACCATTCTCTCTGTTGGTTTTATAAAATTTCTTATATATATATATATATATATATATATATATATATATACTGTTTGTTTCCGTAATAAAATAAAAAGATACTATATATTGAAAATTGCAGGTCAAACTTTACACTTAGTCCGCGATAACGTGGCATGTTCTTGAAACCACTGCGCCCCCTAATAATTTTGTTATTTTTGACATAATAATTCATTTATTCTATATTCTAAATGACGTAGACGTACCATTCCAACGGTAAATTCATTTAAATATTTTTCTAATAATAGAAAATAGTAGTATTCTTCACATACAATTTTAAATTTATGACTAAATCTTAATTTCAGGATTTCAATGTACGGAATAATTAATGAAAAAAAAGACGTACAAATATTTTGATCATAGATTTAGGAAATATAATCTGAATATTAATGTTTGGAATGTCAAGATCTGAGCAGATTAGATGTGATCATTGATAACGTTCTATAATCAAGAAACCTAACTAATGACGAATTATTATTTTAATAACGGTAACAGTATCATATAATATATACTGCAGACGTTATGGATTAGATAAAACCTTCCTCGTATAACCCTTGCTGATAATATATTAATAATCTTTAATTTAATCTATAATGTCGAATACTTAATACATAATTCACCATCCGTCGAAACAAAAAGAGTTCCCGAACTACCTTTCGATTCTCTCTCTCTCTCACCTCCCGTCGATTTGGTTGCCGGAATCCCCCGGAAAAGTTTCTGATTTTCAAAAAAAAATTCTCAACGCGTCAATTTTCGTTCATGTGTTGATTTTTCTTGGTCTTTGGGTTTGAAATTTCTATTTTTGATTCGGCGGTCTAGATGGTTTGTGATCTTCCCTACTCGGGAATTTTCTCCGCCCTCGAGGCTTGAAATCATTCTTCCGGTTTCTGGGTCTCCGATTCTAGGGTTCTTCTGGGTATTTTCTCCTGCAGTCTGGGCATTCATAGATCTCAAAAAGCAAGATGAGTGTTGCGAAATCTCAGGTTTGGCAACCATGCAAGAAGAAGAGGTCGTGACATCTGGAAAGAGGTCGATCGCTACTGTAATCTGAAACGAGAAGAAGAACAGCGGATCTACAGACAGAACGAAGAGATGTCTTCTCGGTCGGGATCTGCGGGCAATTCTGGAAATCTGGGCAGGACAAGAGTCGGCAAGTACGAGCTCGGAAGAACACTCGGCGAAGGGACCTTCGCGAAGGTTAAGTTCGCGAGAAATGTAGAAACCGGAGAGAATGTCGCCATCAAGATCATTGACAAAGAGAAAGTTATGAAGCACAAGATGATCGCTCAGGTATAACTTTTATTCTCCTGTAATGGGAATTGGCTTGGATCATGCAGCTTTGATGTTGACATCGGTCGCCGTTGGCAGATTAAACGTGAAATTTCGACAATGAAACTGGTCAAGCACCCGAACGTGAACCGTATGTATGAGGTTTGATCTCGTTTCTTAGTTCTTGTAATGGTTTTTTTGCATGCTCATTCTTAGTTACCATCCAATCAGATACATGCCTTCGATTGAAAGATAGTAAGTGGTCCCCTTGCCCGAGCATATACTATATATATATATATTATATTCTTCTTGTTGAAGGTATCGTCGTTTGCCTCTATGCAGGTTATGGCCAGCAAAACCAAAATATACTTTGTTCTAGAATTCGTGACCGGTGGTGAGCTTTTCGACAAAATCGTAAGTTTCGAATTCGAAGATGGGTTTTCTGAATAACATAACTCGATTACTCGACAGCCCGAGAAAAGAAAGTAGCAACTCTCTGATTCTTTTGGTCGTTTCTTGTTGTGGACTAGTCGAGTAAAGGGAGATTGAAGGAAGACGAGGCGAGAAAATACTTTCAGCAGCTCATTAACGCTGTCGATTATTGCCATAGCAGAGGAGTTTATCATAGAGACCTTAAGGTCGAGGCTGCTTTCGATTGTTTTTCGTCGGGTTATTGCTCATAAATTGATGTCGGCCGTAAGGTTGAACGTGTTAACGATTTGAGACGTCCTGCTTGCAGCCGGAAAATCTGCTTCTTGATGCGAATGGAGTTCTGAAAGTATCTGATTTCGGGTTGAGTGCCCTTCCTCAGCAAGTCCGAGTGAGAGCTTTATACCCTTTTATCGTATATAGTTTGATGATCGACGTTATGATAATACGATCTAATCCAGAAACTGTTGGCATGTAAGAAGAAAGAATCTCATGAATGCGTTAAAAGCTGATCTTCTGATCCTTCTTATATTAGGAGGATGGGTTACTTCACACAACGTGTGGAACTCCAAACTATGTTGCTCCCGAGGTATCGTGTTTGAAATTTATGAAGGGTTTTCCCCTCTTCGTTCTAACAACCTTCTACTATAGGTTATCAACAACAAAGGTTATGACGGAGCCAAGGCTGATTTGTGGTCGTGTGGCGTGATTCTTTTCGTCCTAATGGCCGGTTATTTGCCTTTCGAAGATTCTAATCTCGTCTCGCTGTATAAAAAGGTCTCCGACGTTTTATTTCTTTCTTCCATATGCATGTTGTGTCATTCTAGAGTGTAATGTTTCATCATCACGAGTTATTTTGAGACGTCTAACGAGTTTTTTTGTTGTACGGGTGCAGATATTTAAGGCGGACTTTACTTGTCCGCCCTGGTTTTCTACAAGTGCCAAGAAGTTGATCAAAAGGATCCTGGATCCGAATCCATCGACGGTATTTTCTTGCTTTTAGCATTTGTGCTTGCAGTAGCCCTTTGTTCGTTCCGTGCTTTGTTATCCAGTGTCGGTTCTGCAAATTTATCGGAGTGATTGAATCTGTAGACTTGACACCGGTTTCATATTTTGAACAGAGGATCATGATTGCTGAAGTCGTTGAAAACGACTGGTTCAAGAAAGGATACAAAGCACCCACATTTGAAAATGCCGACGTCAGCCTCGACGATATCCACGCAATTTTTGACGAATCCGAGGTAAGGCATCTGATCATTATCGAATCCTTTACATTCTTCTGATCATAGCGTGGCCGAGGCTCGAATCATTTGGTTGGTTTTTGTTGCACGTGGGGTTGATAGGATACGAGGAATCTTGTTGTGGAGAGGCGAGAAATAATAGGACCAGCGGCACCAGTAACTATGAATGCCTTTGAGCTGATATCGACTTCCCAAGGTCTTAATCTCGGTACCCTTTTCGAGAAACAGATGGTAAGTGATATATAATCTTGGATTTTCGTATCACTTCGAGATTATCCGGTCGTCTTTTCGAGTTTTGTTACCCCACTGTTTCACGGAAGCTGTTTTGGTGGTAAACCGATACTTTTTTCTCGATCGTTGATTCCAGGGGCTTGTTAATCGGAAAACCAGATTCACATCAAAATGCAACGCTAACGAGATAATCTCGAAAATCGAGGCGGCGGCTGCACCTTTGGGATTTGATGTTAAGAAAAATAACTATAAGGTTGGGATATCGTACTTGTTTATCTACCTGTGTATGCATTTCCTCTTACAAATTCGATCCTCACATCTTCAGTTGCCCGATTTCATTTCAGATGAAGCTGCTAGGAGAGAAAGAAGGGCGAAAGGGTCATTTAGCAGTGGCCACCGAGGCAAGTTAATTTCTTCATCGTTGTCGTCTGATGATATATATATATGTACATATAGATCGAATGTCGATTTAAAATAACGATTCCGCCATTTCTCCTTCTTCTTCTTCTTCAGGTATTTCAAGTGGCGCCGTCGCTTTATATGGTGGAAGTGCGAAAATCCGGGGGTGACACCTTGGAATTTCACAAGGTTTGTGAACCGGAAGCGTCCTCGAGGTTCGATGATTTTTCGCCCTCTCATTTCGGGTTCCGGAATCTTTTTTTTTTGGTTGTTGTTTTCAGTTTTACAAGACGCTTACGGCGGGGCTGAAGGACATTGTGTGGAAAACAATAGACGAGGAAAAAGAGGAAGAAGGCAGCAGCAACGGCAACGGTAACACATTCTCGGATCCTTTCAAACTGTATTATGTTAAAATGCAACGAGAAAACTGAACGAGAATCAAGACAGAACATAACTGAACGAGGATTCTTGGATTTTTTATTTTCAGGTGGCGCCGCCGCCGTTGTATCTTCTTAGTGATGCAGAAGATTTGGTCTGATTGATTGCAAAATTATACATGAATCAGTTTTCAAATGTTACTTTATTTTTTTACTTTTTACTGTTGTGGTGCTGTGAATAGTAAAGTATGCAACAGAGGTAAGAAATGTGGGCTTGGGAATTGAGTGTGTGGTCGGAGGAACGATCTCCATTGGCCTTATCACAAGACACTCTCTCCTTGTGTGTGAATAGTAAAAGGTTGGTATAATCCAAATTAATATTTTTTTTTGGGCAATGGTTAAATCGATTTTTTTTTATAATTGTTTGTTTTTTTAATTAAAAAAAGATAATTTATGATTTGGATTGTTTGTTGTTGCCAACATTTGTAGTTTTAGGTGATGAGAGGTAATTTCATTAAATGTGCAATTTTATCGGATTTAAACTTCGTTCCGTTTATTCAGTTGATTTTCAAAGGATTGGGGTCACGGTCTAACAATGTAACCAAATCTAATCATCAAAAACAAAACATGTTATCTCATCCTAGCCAATCACGTACAAGGAAAATGCCACGTGTCGAAAGCCCTCCGGACCATATTTCCCTTCCTCCTAAAACCCCCCAGAGCCTCTCTCTCTCTCTCTCTCTCTCTCTCTCTCTCTCTCTCTCTCTCACCATGACAGCACTGAGCTCCTCCCTCTGCATTTCACCCACGAAACCTTCATGTCCACAGCAACAAAGCACGATCTTAACAGTAAAACCCACAATCAAATCGCCATTGAAGCACAACCCTCTTTACACAGTCGCGGATCAAACCCTAACTCATCAGATGAAGGAGAAGATCCTGTGTCTCGAACTCATGGGCATCGACTCGGGGAAAGCCCTCTCTCTGAACCCTTCTCTCCGCTCAGCCTCTCTCCAGTCCATAGAATCCGTCCTCCACTTCCTCCAATCCAAAGGAATCTACCCGCAAGACCTTCCAAGAATCTTGGGGATGTGTCCTAAGATACTCACATCGGACATCAGGACAGAACTCAACCCTGTGTTTGTGTTCCTGTCGGCTGCGCTCAACGTTCCAGAGAGCGAGTTCAGGAGGGTCATCAAGAAATGTCCGAGGTTGCTGAGTTGCAGTGTCGAAGACCAGTTAAAGCCTGCTCTTTTCTACTTGCAGAGGCTTGGTTTCAATGATCTCGAGGCTTTGGCTTATCAAGATCCTGTCTTGTTGGTCTCCAGTGTCGAACACACTCTCATCCCAAAGCTCAGGTAAAATTATCCAGTAACCTATGTTTGACATCTACCTGTAATTTGGCAGATGTGGAGTCATAGGAGCATCTGTTTTTGTAGATTTCAGACCATCATTGTTGATGTTCATCCTGATTTAGGAGATCACTGTCTTGAATCATTGTAATAATCTTATCATCCAATTCTCTTGAGAGTTGTTTTTCCACCTGCCAGGTTCTTGGAGAGTAAAGGGTTCTCGAGATCAGAGGCAATAGGAATGATCCTGAGATGTCCGGCTCTGTTCACATTCAGCGTGGAGAACAACTTCGTACCCAAGTTGGAGTATTTCGTGTCGGAGATGGGAGGAAAGCTCGAGGATCTGAAGGGGTTTCCGCAGTATTTCACCTTCAGTCTGGAGAAGAGGATAAGGCCGAGGCATTTGGAAGCGGCGGAGAGAGGCATAGACTTGCCATTGCCGCTGATGCTCAAGTCCACTGATGATGAGTTCAAGCAATTGCTCATCATCACTAAACCCTCTCCCTCTTCTTCTCCTTCCCATTCTTAGTTTCAGTGTCAATTATGTCATATAAATCATATGGAGCTGTCACCATGTTGATTGTTGTGTTCATAGCTAACATGTAAATGACACGTCCAAATTTGGTTAGATCAACTGGTGAAACAGGGTGAGGTACAAAACGTCTGTCCCCGGTTCCGAATTCGAACTTCAAATTCAGGGAAGAAACATATTTTCCAAATTACATGGTTAGTTTCTGACCCCGAAATTAGTCTGGTTTTGGTCCAAGATATCCGGTTAGCAAATAAAATATATATATATATATGATCAATTCATCTTTTTTTTTTAACTCGTAAGAAAATTCCCCCAAAAAAATTGATCTATCAATGACTTTCATTACAAAGTTTCATTTTTATTTTTATGTTGTCTATTTGCGGGGGCTCTAAAGACATTATGTGATCCAATTGGACCAACAGCAACCCGTTGAAGAAATCTCGGACATTTCCATATAGTTCAAACTCATGGTCATGGGGCGTGAACCTTGAACATTCCTTTCACATCTACACACCCACCCGTATCCATACACATGATTGTGTATAGGGTAATACAATTCAAATTTTAGGAATCATAAGGGTCGTGGTTTAATAATTCATAATGTCGTATCAAAATTGTAAGATAGTAACCGAATGGATTTAAAAATGAAATAAAATTTTAATAGAAATTTCAATATTATAAAGATAAAAAAAAATTAATATAGTGAAAAATATAAAATAGAAAGAATACAACTTTTATGCAGAGTGTCCTAAGATAGTTAGCATTAGATGATAACATTGTAACAACAACAATAATTTAGAAAACGAAACAGACTAACAATTTTTTAAAAAAGCAACAGTCCTTATAATACTCTTGAATATATCAAATTTTAGCTATAAAAATAATAATAATATCAATAGCTATTTTATAATACAAATGTTATTCTGTGTATCAATTGTTAATTGATCCGTGTAAATTACGCGAAAGTAGTATATTCAAAATTCGAGGGTCCAAGAGTTTTCTAAAACGTTATGTTATAATTATATTATTATAGGTTGAGAAATATATTTATTAAAAATATTGGAATAGTTAAAATTCTCCGACCAATATTATAGAGTATGTAGATATGTACATGGCAATCACATCAATATATATATATATATATATATATAGATATCAAGTCAATATTAACTCCAAATCTCAATTATTTATGAAATTAAAAGAATTCGAATATGGTTCATTTGGTCAAAGATCTCCTTCAATCAATATTTTCGTCCTTTGGAAAAACATTTCGACAATATGGACCGATATGATTAATCAGTAACATATATATATATATATATATGTATGTGTATTATATAAACTATGAAGGTGACAAATGAGGACACTCCGTGTGTGTGCAGTCCAGCTCAAATAAACCCATAATTACCTCTAATGACATCATTATGACAACAGACAAAAAATCACACTTTTTTCCTAATTTTTAAATTTATTTTTCGGCTTAAGTGGTTATCTATCATTATTTTTAGTGCAAAAATATATAAAAATATAATATAAATAGCTTTCAATATGAAAAACGTTACCAAGACTAGAGGAATCTAGCTTGAACCTCGCAATACGTGCCATCCTTTGTATTTATATGTTTCTACTACCATAATTATAAAACCCTAATTTATATATTACACTTTAAATTCATCCAACATTTATTTGTTCGTTGGAGAATTTTTATACCTAAAATAACAATTTATTTAGGTTATGATAAGAAACCATAATTTTTTTTTAGATATTACTAGGACATTTCATTATAAAAAAAAAATTATGACACTAATCATATTTAATTAACACCACGTAACGGCGTTAAAGGCGTCATGGGTTCACAGGGCGCCGTAGACTCCGGCGTGAGGAGACATATTTTGTAGTTATTTATTTATTTCATTCATATAGTTTATTAGCTCTTCTTTAAACACGAATAGGCAGGCGTATAAAAAAATCGATTATTAAAATAAATAAAAACATTTTCATCTACTTTATAATACCAAACATGCATGCGTAATTTATAATAAAAAAAATTAATGAATTGAACGTAGCGAAATCTCGTGTAAATAATATATAGCACATTGTATATAACAAAATGTATACATATAAAATTAGAATGATTAAGTTAATCTGAGATTGGCTATGAGTAACTGGTTATTTCATTGGATCATTTGTGATGTTATTGTGTACATATTTGTTTCATAAATTAATGATTAAATCAATTTCATAACCTATCCGTAAAATTATAATCTATTTTACATAATGTTAGATATATACATATATAATGTGATTAGAGAGAGAGAGAGTCAACGGTCAAAGTGACAGAGGAACCAGTGACTTAAAAGAGGACAGAAGCGTAATTTGACTCGCTTGGATTGTGCTGTGATTCTGTCATTCGATTCTTACTTTATTTCTTTGGAGTTAAAAAAATACTCCTTCCATTTCATAATAATTTACTTTTTAAACAAATATTGTTGTTTTTACATGTTATTCTATATTTTCTAAATAAATTTCAATTTTACCAAAACCACTACAATGTAGTTTTTATCATTAAATCTATATATTAAATAAAGGTGTATAATTTTTTTTATATATTTTCTTAAAAAGTGTGAAAAATTCTAAACGATAATTATTTAGAAACAGAAGGAATATTATTTAAAATTATATCTACTATAAATTTTAGTTTCCATCTAATTATAAAATATGATTAGGTTATTCGAATGTTGTGAAATAAACATTTGGCTTTCTAACTTTTAAATCTCGGAATTTACAAATCGGAAATAATATTATTTCGTGAATAATCGATTCTCAGCGGCTTTATCTTAGAAATATAAATACTTTATACTGAAAATGGAATAATTATTCGTTAGATTTCTCCTCTAAAAAAAATGGAATGAGAGGGGACCAATTTGATGTTGCAGACTTTGCAGTATCAAACTGGTTGTACTTTATTACACGTCAAAATCACTATTCTACTTATGTGTGTACATATATATGTGTGTATAATAACGAATTTGGTTTAGATAATAAACATATTTTAATTCGTCATGATCAAATATATAAATTTTTATGATTATATTGCACGGTATTATTCAATCTCATTGCAGTCTTTCTTGATATCCTCTTTTTTAATGTAGGAAATTTTATATTGAATTTATCTTAACCTAGTTATAAAGTGATGCAGGCTATTGTTGGTTTTGAATTTACTTTGTTATAAATCTTGAACTAAAATCAAAACCACTATTTTTTATGTTGATGTTCTAATTGACTTTTTTTTTTACACCTTTAAAACAATATTAGGAGGGAAAAAAATTATAAACTATGATTAGTTATGAATATAATTCTTCTATTGAAATCATAACATGTTATATTAATATTATCAAAATTTATACCATTCAATTTTTAACATCCTCTTCAAGAATGATCCTAAACGGTTTTCGGGCAAATTAAATCACATTGCCAAGAATTTGGATGATAAACCAAAAAAATTCCGTTGGAAAATTCTCTTCAAATTGTATTTGATGTGAAAAAGAAAATACGGCAAAAAAACGATTCGTAACAAAATAAAAAAAATAAATAAAAAGAAGAAGGTAATTTAGGGGAGGTGAGGATGATGACGTGGCAATATCAAAACGGAGTCGACGACACCGGCAGACAGTCTTCATGACCCCATCCCTAAAACCTTAATAAAAAACAAAACAAAATAACTTTTGTTTTTGTGTTCAATCATTCTCCATAAATAAAAAAAAACACCCATTTTGTCTCTCCTTCTCTCTCGCGGGCTCTCAAATCTATCTGTGTTTACATACATACACACACACAGAGAGACACAGATACAGATACAGAGAGAGAGAGAGAGACCTCCAATGGAGTACGAGAGAATAGAGAAGGTTCAGGTAAAAACCCCCGCAAGAACCCAATCTTGTTTCTGCTTTTCATCTTTACTACTTCTCTGCTTTTGGTCCGATTGTTGCAGTGTCTGCTTATTATGTTGTCTTTTCGTTTTTTTTTTTTGGTTGGGTTTCACGGAAATGATCGAACTTGGATTTTGGTTCCGCCATTGTTTCCGGCTGTTTGCTCGTTCCTGATTTTCTGAGAACCGAGTTCGTAGAGTTTTCCATAGAAAATGTTGGCAACGATATGATTTTTGGTCCACTTAGTCTTCAACAGTGAATGCCCTTTGCAAAAAAAAAGAAAAAAGTTATGCACTTGACAAAAAAAATAGTCCCATTAAGATTTATTGTCCGTGCCTTGAAATTTCTGCTCAAAGGTAGAAACTTTCAGTGTCTTCCACAATAAATTTGCAGAAATTTTCGTTTTTTTTTTCCCGTCTCCTTCATAATTTTCTGTCAATTTCCTGTAGAACACATCTGAAAAATAGCCAGATACTGCGTAGAACACATAGTTTCAAAAGGCTTGATCGTTTTGAGGAAATTTTCAGAGGAATATGTTCGGAATCTGTTTTATACGAAAGGGTTCTTTGTAGTTTAGATTCATCTATTCAAATCCAAAGGTTCTGCCCCGAATTCGAGAACATTCAATCTTAAAGCTCTCACCTTTAGGGTTCTTGGTCTCAAACTGTTCTAAAGTTCGGTTCTTGTTTCGAGCAGAAGGGTATAATCTCACCTACAAAGCTGCGAATGAGGCTGATGGGTCCTCAGTATAACAGGAAGAAAGAAGGATCCAACAGTAATTCCTCGAGGACATCCCCTTCACGTCTCGACATTCCTGAGCACTCCGAATTCGTCAAGAACAGCTTATTAGCCTCCAAATCCGATTTTGACGACGATGGTTCGTCACTTTTTCTTTTGTGCATTGAAAAACGTGTTCTGCATAGTGTTGTAAGGATTAGCTGCCACAAAATCCGATTTTTAAACTCGAAAAGTTTCGTCAATTCTCGTGTTGAGTTTGAAACATGACACGAGTTTGGCGTCTTTTGTTTGTTTCCTTGTTTCTGGTCTGTAACTACTTGTAGCTGCTGTTCCAAATATGGATGTCGGGGAAGTTAACCTGCCCAGTGATCTGCCGGTATTGGACGTTAATGTCTCGAGCAGCGGATTAACGAAGGAAACAGGAGAGATTATGGACCGCCCGAGAAACCAGCAATTCAGGAAGGGTGATTTGAGTATGAGACCACCAGAGGATGAGAATCTTGATTATGACAGCAATGCTAGCTCCTCGAGTTTTGAGTTCCCTAATGGCGGTGAACGCTTGAACCGGAATCTTGTCCCGAGGTCATACCCGAGACAAATGCCATCCAAGTGGAATGACGCCGAGAAGTGGATAATGAACCGACAAAACATGGTGAAGAAGAGCGGATCTTTATACGGCCATGGGAACCGAATGCCAGTAAGAGTCGCCCCCGAGAATTCAGGTTATGAACATAACAATCTGAGAATGGCTGCGGATACTGAGTTCGGGAAGTTCCCATCAGTAATTGAAGCCTATGGAGGAAACATTTCAATCGGTCACTACACGCAGAGCAAAAATCTTAGGGAGGCAAAGGATTTATCACACGACAAAACAGGTACACTTATAAGTACTTCTCATAAATAAAACACGAAAGGATCCTGTCTGGTTCGAGGTTTACTTCTTCTGACATGATAGAGATGCTTATGTTCAGTTGTTCCTGCTGTCCGTTCGGTCTGTATGCGGGACATGGGAACTGAAATGACGCCGGTAGCGAGTCAAGAGCCTTCGAGAACTACTACACCCGTCGGGGCAACGACCCCTCTTCCCAGCCCGACTTCTTCCCTTCCCTCAACTCCTAGAGCTCGGGGTGGCCAAGAGGAGTATCCGTCACAAGACCCGGAAGAAATCACGAAAAGGGAACTGTCGGAGAAAGAAATCAAGCTGAGGACGAGAAAAGAGATAGTGGCCCTCGGGGTTCAGCTTGGGAAGACGAACATTGCGGCTTGGGCGAGCATAGAAGAAGAGAATAATGATAATAATAACACGGATTCCATCGGAAAAAACCCCGACAAGGAGGAGATTCAGAGGATTGAGTATGAAAAACGGGCCGTCTCATGGGAAGAAGCTGAGAAATCCAAGCATACTGCACGGTTTGTATGCTCCAGCGACCTCACTAGTCCATTGCTCTGGTAAAAAGAGCAAGAACAAAGGTTTATATCTTGTGTTTTTCAAACCAAAATTTCTAGGTATAAGCGTGAGGAGATCGAGATTCAAGCATGGGAGAGCCAGCTGAAAGCAAAACTCGAAGCGAAGATGCGGAGGATAGAGGTAATAAGATCATAAAATCCCGAAAATCCCGATTCATCTTCGATATGATATATGATTTTTGTAATGAATTCCTCTGTGTAGGCCAAAGTGGAGAAGATGAAAACTCAAGCAGAAGCAAAGATGGTGAAGAAAATCGCGATGGCGAGGCAAAGGTCTGAAGAGAAGAGAGCTGAAGCGGAAGCCCGGAAAAACCACGAGGCCGAGAAGGCAGTGGTTCAAGCCGAGTATATCCGTCGAACTGGCCGAATACCAGCTTCCGGTTACATGTGCTGTGGTGGTTGGTTCTCATGAAACTTTCACTCTTGTCTGAGAAAAAAAAACCGGCTTGTTTTCTGAAATCCTTGTAATATAGAGCGAACTTGTGTTTCAAGTTAGGGTTATAGCTGCCGTCTGGTGCAAGTCAACCGTGGCAATAAATGTACTAAAAAATAGGATGCCGGTTTAATGGCTGGGATGGAATTTGGCGTTTGGTTAACTGTACCGCACTGAATACCGGCCTTATCTGGTCGGTACGCGTTAAACCCAACCGGACTAGACCAATTCAACGAGCAAATGAACATTGGCCCATGGGCTTTAAAACGTTATACAAACTTTTTTAATATATTTTTATTTATACTTTTGTACTAAAAAATGTATCTTGTAAGTTGTAATCAATATTTTAAAATATATTTTGTAAGTAACACAAATTTTTTCTAATATTTTTTAAATATATCTATTTTTTATTATAGAATTGGAGGAATTAACCCTGATATTATTTTTTTTGGAAAAATATTTACAAAAGGATTGAAATGTTTACTAAAAATAAATAGGGGCACTCGCCTCTATTGAATCAGACATATAGGATCTGTCTACGAACATAAGCAAAAAAGGGTTTTAACAAAACAAAATTAAACATTTTTTTGCGGGGAAATCAAATGGGGAAAGGGGGAAAAAGAAAGGGTAAAGTTTCCCCCAAACCCTAAACTAATTAGGGTTCTTGAAAATGCCACCACATGCATCTCATCATTGTATGAATCCAATTCTTGTTTGGTCCCACCACCGAACGCATGTGAATCCCAAACACACACACTCTCTTCTCTCTAAACCCTTTCAAAATATCTACCCATCACACAAAACACAAATGCATTGATTTTATTTTATTTTATTTTATATAATAAGATATAAACGAAATATAGTCTTTCTATTAATTATCCAACTTCAACAAGCATGACAAATCAAATATATATTCAAAAAAAATATTATCAACATATTGATAGTACCATGAAAAAAAATTTCATGATACCGGTTTAATAAGATATATATTAATTTTCAGTAATTTTATCTGAATTAGTTTATAAAGTCAAAGATAATTTCAAAGGACAAAAACTATCAACATATATATATATATGTATATAGGTGTGTGTATATATCTAGGTTACAAGTTTGGTTAGGTTGGACCAATAATGCGACCAAAAGGGATTGAATGTGACACGTGAAAAATATAGGGTTTTGCCGACGCTCAAAGCCCTAGATTCCGGATCGGTCCATTAGATTTCTTTTTCAATTATTAATTTTTTTTTGGGTTACAAGTTTGGTCCTTTTCAAGATCGACGACACTTTCATGGACCCATACATGCATAACACAATCCAATGGTCCCGAATTCAGACAAAGACCACAACTTTGTCCATTTCCAAGAACCCTTTCACACACTTGCCTTGTTAAAACATAGAAACTTTGCATCATCATCATCATCATCATCATCATCATCATCATGCAAATATACTACCAAGTGAAAAAAATGTTCATATAGGGCGCCAAAAGATCTTATAATTACAGTATTGAGAGAGCTTATAGAAGACAGAGAGAGAGCTAGTAATTAAAGTTCAATTCTTTCCAGAGGGAAAGGCTCCTCCTTTTTGTAGATAAACAAAAGGAGGGGTTGAAGGCTAAACCCTAATTTCCCACTAAGTAGAGTACACAAGAGAAAGGAAACCAACCGGTGTTGAAGAACCATTTCCAAATCCGTAGATTTTTCAGTACTCGAACGAGCCGCCCACCGAGGCGATACTGTTTCCGAGACTTCTCGGGTCCTGCCTGTTCCTGAAGTCCTCGCATCCGCCGCCGCCGTTAGCCGCCAGCTTCTGAACGGACTGCCCCGAGTTCAGAAGCTCCAGCCCTTGTTTCCCCATCTCCTGCACTTCCTGCGGCGACAGTATCTTGATGCACCAGACACTGTTCACGAACTCCCTGTCAGAAAGAAAAACAATCACAGCCCTGGTCAGAATTCAGTGTTGGGTCCATGGCTCGAGAATTTCGAGTTCAGAAACTCACGGCCAAGGGTCATCACCGAGGAGAAGGACATCGTTCTCCCGGTCAACGAATACAAGCTGCCAGCCTGATCTCAGAGGGTCCTCCAGTTGGCCTTCCAGGCCGAACATGTGAGCTAGCTCGCTTCGTAGCTCATGGTAGCTGCTGAATTTCGATATATCCAGCGATCTTCCAAAGGACCCCGACTTGTACACCTACAGCAAAATGCGTCCACACAAACTCGTCTGTAAAAACTCGTAAGAGCGGAAACGGAATAAGAAATGAAAGATCAGTTACCTTAACAAAGGTTGTGGATTGCGGGTTATCGGATCCTGGGTTCTCCGAAGACTGCAGAAAACCCGATTCATCTATACAGTTGGACGGTGTCATTGCCAGATTAGATGAGAAATCGTTGATGCCTACGGTGTTTGTGAAATTTGAAGATGTGTTGAAGGGTAAGATTGTGTTGTCGTTCTCGAGGCCGATGCCTCTAAGGTTTGACATCCCGCTCGGCATTAGAAGAGGTGACGAGTCTATATTGACCCCAAACAGGAGATGGCTATGCGGGTCGGTGTTCCCTTCTTGCTCGATGGAACACTCCCTACCGGGGAAGGGAGGCAACGAGACAGAACTTGGCGAAACATTGCTTGCGTGTGATTGTTGTCCCAACTGCTCCATCACACACTGAGTATTATTACCGGCTCCAGAGGGCTGGAAAGACGAATCAACTGCAGCACGCTTCGATGGCCAACCAGAAGAATTCATGGCCGAGTTTGTCCTTGTGAGGTTGAGCAGTTGAGAGGATTCGTCCTGCGGGAAGTTACCCAAAAGACTATGGAGCGGAGAAACCACGGAACTTGTCATCGGGTTATTCCCATTTGAGTCCGAGAAGCTTTGCTGATGGCATAACGGCATAAGTGACTGCAGTGGCGACGTGATGGACTGAGAAGCAGAAGCAAATTGAGACATGGGACTATGATTATCTGCAACTTGTTGCTGTTGCTGCTGAGGGAGGAGATTGCTGGCCTGAGTCTGTTGTGTCTGAGACTGAGATTGCTGGTTTTCCGGGATGCCGAGAAATGTCTGGTGAGACAGTTGCTGCAACAGCATCTGAGGCTGCATTAAAGAGACGGGTCTCGTCGAAAAACCCGAGGGCTGTTGGAACTGGAGAAGCGATGGCACGGGTTTGGAAGGATCGATGCCTCTCATGTCTTGAAGTGCAGCGGCAGCCATTGCTTGGTAAACATCGTTTTGCATCCCGAGCAATCCCGAAGGATCGAGCCTCGGCTGCATCCATGGGGTTACTCCAACTCCCTGAAAGTTCAGGGATTGGAGCCCGCGGTCCCACATAATCGGCGAGCTCATACCCAAATCATCTTCTTTCAGACCTATACAGGATATGAACGATTCATTATTTATGAGTGACGAATTGGAGTGAGTAAAGGCCAAAACTTGCGGGATCAGATTCATACTACCGTGGAAAGATGGAAGACCAGACGGCCATGGACGTTTAAGCCTAAGAGGGAACGGAGAAGGGTACATCGGGAATGTCGTTAAAGGCTCGATCTCCCACAAAGAAACCCTCGGTTGTCTCTCGCCTGCTGTAGATTCATCCCAGCCAACCTGCATTAATCAAGACGATACATGAACAAGAAATCTCGATATATGAACCCGATGATACCAAGAAAATGAAATTAGCTTGAGTTGGACAAACCTTGACGGATCGCCAGTGCGAATTAGGCCAACGAACAGGATCCATGTCACTTATCCCAGTTATTGTGCCCATGTACCTGAAACTCGGTAGGTTAATCCATCATGTTAGAAAAATGCCGTCCAAGTGAAAAATAGATGATGGTAAGAAAAAATGCGGGAACTTTACTAATTGCCTTACCGACGGACACTTGATTCTTCAGTTTCAAACAACATCCTAAAGCGCAAACCAACAGAAACCCGAGTGTGGTAAACTGCCTTAACATACTTGGCCAGAGGTATCACAAACTCAGAAGGACTTGCCCTGAAAAAAGATTGAATTTTTTTCATATTTTTTCCATTAGAATGCAACCAAACATTTACACAGACAAACATGCATGTAAAAAGATCACACCTTGGGTTATAGAAGATGGTGAAGCGGCTGTTTGTAGCAGCAGCATGGGCTGCGGCAGCAAGAAGGCCTAAATGCATACTATCACTCGATAAAACCGATGAAGGCATAACAGTCTGTGGCCGATTGGCACGCCTTATACCGAGAAGTAGCTGATTCTTATCGTTCCTGATGTCAAGAGAGACAGGACGAGTCAAGGGTCAGTTCCGAGAGAGAATCTTACCAAGATTATGAAGCCAGAAATGACATAGATAGACATAAAGCCGAAACTGACCAGATGAAAAGCACCGAGTCACCGGCAACTAGCCTTTTAGCACTCACAAAGACGCTCCATCCAGTGGTAAGAAGATGCCTCTTGGGCTGGCCTGCAGAGATGATTCTTATGGTCCGTGTAAGAAATCAAAAACGGAAACTGAAAAAGCACGATGTCTTGCAAGAAATCTAACCTCGAAAAATATGTCTGAATTTCCATTCGTTATCATGCAGATCCCTCGCGATCAACTCCTGAGCTGGAGGCTGTTGTGTGTAGTCCTGAAGATTCAAACCATATATGCTGGTAAAAGAGGAAGGTAAAAGACTGAAAACAAGTTACAAGATGTCACAGATGTATCTAAGAAAATATACCAGTGGAGGAAACACTTTCTCGGCAGCTCGGCGAGGAACAGAAAACCCTCCATGAGTACTTGTATCACTTGCAGTCAAAGTTTTACAGAAATAATTCGTCGGCTGTCTACTCGGGACACCTAATTCCGCTGGAAGGTAAGGATCCTTCTGCTCTTGCTGCACAAAACCAGGAAACACAGCAAGAACTCACTCACAGATACAAAGATTCGACACTTCTTCCCTGTGGAGGAATCGTATCGGTAAGATTTCGAGAAAAATCTCTTACGGGGTTTAACGGTTGCAAAGTCATCTGCGCATAGACTTCATCAGTCTCCACATCTGCCTGAAATCGAACAAATTCGGTCGCAAAATCAGAGGGGACCCCCATGAAATGTGAAAGATAGAAGAATCACAAAACACATTGTTCTTACATGCATGGTGACATTGTGAAGCTGACAGATGAGTTGTGGTTGCAAGCTCGGATAGTTCGGTATATGGGTATCTACTTCTTTGTTCGTCGAAGCTGCAACCTAAAAGAACCATATAATCGTTTAGAACTCTGAATCCCCATCTTGCTACACAATTCATTCTCATGATTCACACTGACAAATCCCTTATCAAAAGCTTCTGAGACATTGGGTGGTAATAACGCGGTTCTAGTAATGACATTACAGAGACAATGGAAGTAGAAAACGTAAACTTGAGAGAGATCGGTTTTAGCATAATCCAAGCAAATGATAAGATAGAGTCATTAAGACCTGTTCGCTGTGTCCCTGAGGAAAATAAACAACTCGGCTTCCGACAGGAGGCAATGATACAAGAGGACCCGCACAAGCATGCCACAGTTCAGAATTAAGAACCCTTCTCTCTCCTGCATTATAGTTCACAAACACAGATGATAAATCTCCCGGAAGTCATGTAAAGTTCAATCATTTTTCACTGAACCCACTTCTGGGAACTGATAATGTTAGAAATTAGGTTATAATCTTTCATAGACAACTAAAAATTGCGAGAAAAGATGTTTCTTTTCTGGGAAATTAGTCCCCTTGTTCCCAGCAACCGAACAGAACTTGGCATTACCGTGAAATCAATCAAACAAATGAGGAGAAAATGAGAGGAAAAAAGAAAGAGTCGGTACCTTCATGAGCCTGAGGATTGAATCCAGCAGAAGACAACCTCATTTTGCCCGAAACAGAAATTATGCCAACTTCTGTTCTTCAAAGATCCAAAATTTCAAGATCCCCAAAACAAGTATCACCAACAAGCACCAAAAGCATAACTTTAAGCTTTTACGCTCCTCCCCCCCACCTCCCCTCGCTTTCACCAACCAGACCTTTCGGGAATCGAAAACCCTAAAACCAGATTTCTCCTAGAGAGGTGAAAAAAACCCAACAACCAAATCCGGATGTTGTGCTGCAGAACTAACCCGCTTTCAGCCTCATAAGCTCTCAATCGTCTTCCTCCCCGTCCTCACCCTGAAAACACCTGTTTCAACTCCTTCATATTCTTCCAGAACGTTCTCGCCGATTTTGTTCCGTAAAAAAATAGCCTTTTTTTGTTTTCACCAGACACCCACCAAAGCCCACAGGTCAAGAAACACAGATCTCGAGCTTTCTTTAGCTATCAAGAGAGGTGCGTGCCGTCTGAAAGAAACGGAGTTTTTCTCAGGAAGTAGAAACAGGAGATCTTTCGAGCCGTTTCCTTTCTTTTTATTTTCGAATTTACGAGGAACCAAGATCCCAGAATATGATGAATGCAAGATTGGGAAGGGAGAAGAACATAAGGGCATGCATGGTTCAACTGTTGCAGAACATGGGTACACAAGGGATAAAGCAAAAGAACAGATCAAAAGAGGGCAAGAAAGAGACAGCTCTGAAAATACAAAGATAAAATCCAAACAGATTCAGCTCCTCCTGAGCTATTCTCTTCGGTAATGGAGATTACGGAAATGTCGCCAGAGTTACAAAGAAAAAGTGACGACGATCTTCTGCTAAGCTGATTGAGCTTCTACTACTCTGCCTCTCTCTCTCTCTTTCCCAAAGAGCTCTCTTTTATTTGACTGAAGCGACGATGGCTGTTTTTACCCGGACCCGGACCCGGATCGCGGCGGGTCAAACTTTTTACGGCAACTTGTTTGCCCGGAAAGGGAAATTGTGTATTTACCATTGTACCCCTACATTTCCCTTTTATTACGGCTTTGGGACCCGAGCCTTTTTTGATACTCCACGTCTTTCAAATCTCAATGCGTCGATGAAAAAAATAATTGTTCAATAATAAGATATGTAATTAAATTTTCTTATGAATATATAGTTTTATTTTTTATATAAGATATATAGTTATTGTTGTTGCGTGTGTGTGTATATATATATATATATCAAGTGTGTCGTGGTACTTATTTAATACAATACGATGTACCACAACATACGCCATCCCCTTTAAATAATCTTGCAGAATTTTAAAGAAATTGAGTTTGCTCATTTAAATTTTAAACGTCATCATTTGCAAAAAAAAATAAATAAACAGACAATACTCGATACACTTTCATCTTTTCCATTTCGAGTTTTGAGCCGAAATTCTATATTAAAAAAGAATAAAAAATCGCGAGATGATTTTTTATTTATCCAGAAAATCGATCTCAAAGTGTTTTAGTATAATGGAACCAATGATGAATTAAAAATAAAATCAAAGTAGAATAACAAACCGGTTTAATATTCAGTAAACCAATAAGCATAGCCTGATAATATTAAATTTTACATAATAAAATTTACATACCAATATATTTTTGTTTAGTTTGACTTTTTTTTGTTATTAAGCCTCTTTACGTTGGCTGAATAATACCAATAACTTATAATTAAAATCGGATATAACCATCTAATATGTCTTAATATATATGTGTATAATTAGAGGTGTTCTAAATATTTGCTGTTCGTTTGTAAGAAAAGAAGGGCTAAATTATAAAACCCCAGAAATATTTTAAAGAATAACATCGAGGAATAGTATTCGTTTTGGCAACGGCCAAAATTATTATTATTATTATTATTATTATTATTATTATTATTATTATTGGATGTATTATTTTTGCTAGTTGTTTGATTGCGTAACGTGAAAACGAAAGTGTAAGAATATATAAATAATTCAGTATAGACAACGAAATCACCTGAGAAAAATGACAGGACGTACTTTTTTAGGGATTTCGAGTGATTATCTTTTCCTTTCCAGAAAATATTTTTATTTATCTTTTGAGAATTTCTTTTATATATACGTAAATATTTGCATGTCGGGAAGGGCGAAATTGGTAAAAAAAAAATAGCATCGATAAAAACGATTCGAAAGATCGTAACGTTGATGATATTATTATCAAATAATTTTGAGTGGAAAAAAGGTCGAAATTTCCAAATTAAGGGGCCGACAATTACAAAATGTCACCTTTACCCTTATAATACACGTGCGGGTTCTCGACGTGGCAAGGGTAAACTGGGTAGACACGTTTTCATAGGCCGATCGATGAGTGCATTATTGAAATTTCATTGATATTTTTTAACCACTATTACAATGGTATTGACATTCTGCACAAATAAATTTTAAATCTTAAAATATTATGTACGAATAAAAAATATTATCAATATTTTAATTATTTTTAAAAAATAGATTCTTAGTTATCTAGAGTTGAACAAAATAAAATTCCCGTTTAGAAATTCAGAAGTGTTGTTAGTGTGTTGCTGTTATTATTCTTTATAAGACTGTTTCGTATTTGATAGATGACAATGTGATATGTGGAAATTGGGGGTATTAAAATTGACACGAGTGATTTATTCATTACTATTATTAGCATATAAATAACATAAAGTTTTCATAATATTTATTTATTATTAATTTATGAAGCATTAGATAAATTATCATCATATTTAATATACTTATCATAATTTTGTTCAATAGTATTTAGTTTTTGGACAGACATAATATTAGCATCTTCTAGACCGTAATATATCGGATGTTATTTTTATAGATAATATGATCCAAATTAATCTAATACTTAAAAAAGCGCCATCTTTGCCCAAAGTTAACAAAATAAAATCACATTTATTTAAAGGGATGAATCGTACAATCGGTCGAATATATATATATACACATGCAATTATTAATGGTATACTTGGAAAATTCATGTATTGTGTGCAGCGAAAAAATAATAAATAGAAACAATAATATAAGGTGAATTATATAATTCTTTTTTTGACAATTAAGAAAATGGAGGAGAGAAAGAGAACAGTGTGGTCGTCCCCACAGAGAAAGGGAATGCTGACGGCGTGGCGTACGTACGATGAAAGAGGAAGGGAGATCCCAACCGTTGGATGAGAAAAACATGGGGCCCACAAAGGTAGGGAGATGCGACGTGACATGTACCAACGGTAGGGCTCACTCCTAGTCCTATTGATCGCTTTCACTCTCTTGCGGGTTTCGTTGCTACACGCAATTGCATTCGCCCCCACTCGTTCGCTTATCGACCATAATGTACACCGTATATACTATTAACATGTAATGTATAACGGTACATTATACATAGTAAAGTTCTAATAAAATTTATATAATTTTACAAAATAAAAAAATGTATAAAAAACACATTTGAATTCATTTACGTAAAAAAATCAAACAAATTACATAGCGAGTGTGAAAAGATACACCCGACATGCGTGTGTACAATGTGTGTACTTCTACGTATTTATCTTTCATTTATTAGCTTAATGGGATATATATATGTATATATATAAATAAAATAGAAGTAAAAGAGTCGTCAGAAAAAATGGTGTTCAATAATTCTATAGTCGGCAACGTGGAAAGTGAAAGTTTTCCTAGGAAAATATCAAAAGAAAAAACAACACATTCTGTGGTCGGATAAATTAGAGAGAAAAAAAAAACTATAAGTAAAAATGCTACAAAAGTTTCGCACAATTAAATTGACCGCGACATATATTAGAAGTCAATATTCCGTCTCTGCAGTAAAACGAGGTTAAAAAAGCAAAACCCTAAGAAGAGAAAATACCCATTCATGCATGTATGTCCCTGCATGAGGCTGCCACTTGTATCAGAAGGTGTGGCCCATCTCACATGCGCACATCTCTTTATTATTTTCATTTACATTTTGTACATTTCTTATATCATTAATTTTAATACCGACATATATATACACGATACATATATATATATATATATATATATATATATATATATACCC